GCGCACCTCTCCCGCTCTCTTTCCTGCACGGAGTCGAGTATAAAGAGGTGAGCGCTCCATCAATTTGCGACTATTTTACTTTTATCACTCACCCTAGGTCGCATGGGTAAACTTGTTGTGTGTTTTTGTTTAGGAGCGAGCTAAGCACTCACTGGAGGCTAACTGCTATATGCATTGTTCTTCTGTGACCAGGTATGTCCAAGATATGTATTATAGTTTGTATGTTATTACCCTGCGCATCTCTCCCGCTCTCTTTCCCGCACGGAGTCAAGTATAAAGAGGAGCGAGCTAAGCACTCACTGGAGGCTAACTGCTATATGCATTGTTCTTCTGTGACCAGTGACCAGCAATAAAGGGCCCGTGAACAGCAAGTGTGTCGGTCCATGTGTCCCATAACAAAACACAACGCAGCACGGCCAGTCACCAGAGGGACAGGCGAGGATTAAGAGGACAGATTAGAGACCCAAAGGCGACCGGTTACACTAGCCTGTCTCACCCCCGCCTGCCCCCTGCCGCCTCTCCTCCCATCCTGGTCCTCCGCCCCGCCCCGTCCCTGTCCGTCATGGCTGTCCCTTCTCCTCATTGGTTATCCCTGTGTGGTGCCCCACCCACGGCCATGATCCGAGTGCTGTCATTGGACGCCTTGCAGCGTGAGGTCACAGCATCCCCACCTGCTCTAGACAAAGTAAAAATGAATACATGTTTATAATAATCATAAAGTTGGACTTATTTTTAAATTCCAAATACAAAGTATGAGAAAACAAAAACTGTATAAAATTCAATGTTTATTTTGGATATACATCTGATATGTTTTATTTCATAACCATATGTAATATGTTCAATATTGAAATAGTGCATAGTTTTATCATTAATATTTTAATACTATACATTGTTTGTAAAACGTTAATAATTTTCACTTGTTCTATTCGGTTCTTACTGGGGTATTCCTTTGGACTCGTTATCAATTAATCCACAGATTTCTCCTTGAATGACTGAATTATTCATTTTGTCTGTAAAATGAGAGACAGCAGTGAAAATGCCTGTAACAGCTGAAGCCTTACACGTGTGTGTGTGTGTGTGTGTCACAGACCAACTGTTTATTATTGACAGACCTACTGTTATTATTATTATTATTATCATATAACCTTCTGTTATAGTCACACAAAGACCGTCTCTGATTTGCAGATATACCTGAAAACCCTTAAAAACCTCCCTGCAGTTGCACCACCACCTAAACACTGGGTAATACCCGGACCCGCGGTTGTTTGGTGTCTGTTTACATGTCCTCTCCTTGTCGCCTTAAGGAGTCTAATATAGGCTGAAGTCGTTTCTCCTTGTGCGGCTGCATTTGCTGCAATGTCCTGCTTTATATTCAACAATAGTGACGTGCATTACAACATCTTTCATATGTGTTTTGTTATAATAAAACCAATGGAAAACTAATAAGAGTAGATTTTAGAGCGGACCTCTGTTTATCTAGCTCGGCGCTAGCTGTTAGCTGCTCCGTCACACCAAAATGCCAAGTGACCGTTAAAGTAACGCAAACATGACGAAGCAGGAAACATCAGCAGCTGCTGCAAATGTTCACCGACTATAAACCTGTGGCTAAACTGTATCAGAGCTCAGCAGAATGCAGCTGACACGACAGATCTGTGTCTCTACTCACCGCCAGCCGACCCTACTTCCTCAGCAAGCTTTTGACAGCTCCCGCCCTCTCTGCACCTCTCAACCAATAAGTGTGTAGGTAGAAAAACTAGTGGCTTTCTATTGGATAAGATTTACGTCAGTCACTTGTAGTGTTTTGATGCTATGTTCACATTATTTAGGACAAATTTTAACGTATAACTTTATTTTTATCAAATTTTATAATTCATTACATGTATAATTGAAGAAATGTGTCTTCATGTTTAATTGTAATCTTCTTCTTCCTCTTTCGGCTGTTCCCGTTAGGGGTCACCACAGCGAATCATCCGTTTCCACCTAACTCTATCCTCAGCATCCTCTACTCTCACCCCAACTAACTTCATGTCCTCTTTTAGCACATCCATATATCTCCTCTTTGGCCTTCCTCTTGACCTCTTGCCTGGCAGCTCCATCTCCAACATCCTTCTACCAGTATAACCACTATCCCTCCTCTGCACATGTCCAAACCATCTCAATCTGGCCTCTCTGACCTTATCCCCAAAACAGCCGACCTGAGCTGTCCCTCTGATGTGCTCATTCCTAATCCTGTCCATCCTGGTCACTCCTAAAGAGAACCTCAACATCCTCATCTCTGCTA